TGTATGGGACGTAATCGAATGCACTCTTGTTAAGTTTTCTTTCTTTGTCTACGAGATGTGTTATCGGTTGCGTGTACGACTCATAGATGAAATACACTATTTAATTGCATTTATATCAGTTGCAATAGTCGAAGTAACAGTCGAAATTTCTACATGAAACCGTCACATTCAGCTCTAATGCTATAGGAGGCCGTCTTCTGTGCATGTCTTGTTCTGTTCAACGATTCTTTAGTTGACTTTTCTCCTTTGTTACCACTTGTACTATCACTTGTTATTATCTTATCTAATTTTTAAGACTTCATCTACAATATTGCCACAAGAAAAAGGCAGAGGTATAATTCAGCATACTCCGTACAACAAACTATTCCTTGCCCATTATTAAATCAAGTGACTTCATATGATAAGCTGTATGCGTCAAACTACTTTTCATATCGCATATTTTCTTTTGTGATCTATATTAAAAACTAGCTTGCATAAGTTTGAATGATGTCATACAAGAAACATTTTGCGTAGAATCGACTTCTCTGACAGAGCAAATTGACTCACGGTGTATTTTGTAGATTTGTAATCGAAATCTTCTAGAGCACATTTGTGGAATCTTGAATTATCGGTAACGATAGTCGGCATGGACAGCAAAAAGATTCCTATTAGGGTAGTTGTTATTGGTCATGCTGATTGTGGCAAATCCACAGTAATTGGACATTTTCTCTGTAAGTGCGGCATTATAGACAAGCGAGCCTTTGAGAAATTCGAGAAAGAAACTATGGAGGTAAGTTTTTTGCTTAGTTTACTCTCCAATTGAACTCTTCGATTGTTGATGATCCGCAGATTGGCAAAGGTTTTTGCAAATATGCTTGGATACTAAACAAACTACAAGGTGAACGTAAACGTGGCATCACTATCGATATCGCATTATGCACATTTGAGACCACCAAATACTCGATTACTATCGTCGATGCTCCGAGTTATCGTGATTTCATCACAAATATGATCAACAATATTTCAAAAGTATGCAAAGTCTTGCTGTTCTTGTGAAGATTTATGCATGAGCAATGAGAGTATTATATTTTTACTGTTATTGGTTATAGACACTTTCTATTCTTTAGGCTGATTGTGCCTTGTTAATGGTTGCTGCTGGCCTCGGAGAATTTGAAGCCGGCATTTCAAAGTATGGTCAAACTCGTGAACATGCGCTACTTGCTTATCTTTTGGGTGTCAAGCAAATCATTATTGGCATCAATAAAATGGATACAACGCAGCCACCCTATTCGGAAGATCGCTTTAACGAAATTCAGGCTGAAGTCCTCAAATACATACAGAAAATAGGCTACCAATCACACGCTATCACTGTCGTTCCCATGTCTGGCTACCATGGTGATAACCTTGTTCAAGTATCAGACAAGATGACTTGGTTTCAGGGCTGGAATGTTCAACGCAACTCTGTAAACATCAAAGTCACCACCCTTTTAGAGGCTTTAGACGCACTCAGTCCTACAGTGCAGCTCACGATGAGGCCATTGCGTTTTACTCTGTGTGGCAAGAGCAAAACGAATGACGATAAAACAATCCTCATAGGCCAAGTAGAATCAGGTGTACTTAAGACATATACGACTGTCCATTTTGCTCCATCAAATATCACAGCTGAAGTCGAATCGATTGAGATGAACTACGAAGCTGTCAAGGGTATAAATTTGATTTCGTTACTTTGCCCTACGATGTTCTTCGTTTTTCAGAAGCGATACCTGGCGATTATGTAACAGTCTATGTGAAAAGTATTCATGCGAGAGAACTACGACCAGGATTAATTGGCTCGGATCCAACAAATGATCCGGCTCAGGAAGTCCTGAGTTTTATTGCTCGAGTAAGAATCTTGAACCTTTTACTTCGATTCGAGCAAGAAAAATAGCAACTCTTTTTCCTCAGATCGTCCTGACCAATTGTTTAAGTCAGATCCATGCGGGATACATAGCAGTGATTCAGTGTCATGGGTCTAGTGTTGCTTGCAATTTCATCGAACTACTCAAGAAGATCGATCGTCTATCAGGTCAAACCATTGAAGAAGCTCCACAGTGTCTTAAATCTGGCGAAACTGCTTTAGTCAAGTTGGTCCCACAGAAACCTTTGTGTATTGAGCGATTTGTTGAGTATCGAACATTAGGTCAGTTTCTTGTTCGAGACATGAAACAGATAGTAGCTTTCGGTGTTGTTATGGATGTCGAGAAGGTAATCTCAGTAAAACGATCAGTTACTACTTCACATGAAGATCAAGCATAGTTGGAGCAACACATTTTCGAACATTATTTCAGCATGTTGGTGTCGATTTCATGGACTATCTTACGGTTTTTTTATTTCTCTTTTTTCATTTCCGCAAAAGAAAAATAACTGCAGCATTCATCTTCTCTCTTTCAACTGTCGACATATCGCTGCGATCAATATCATGTCATGAAACCGGACGAAAACGATAACTAAACGTTAAAGAGGCAATGAGAAACGCATCCCATCATTTTAGTATCTTTTATTTTCTGTAGAATAAGAGCTAGAATATTGAGTCGTTTTACTTGCGAAGTCGGTCATCATTGGGCAACAACATAGCTTCAGCCGTCTAGTGTTTTGATTCCTAAAATCATTTCTATGCAGTTGTTCCTAAAACGAATGACACTTATTTCTGTAATACTCAATTTTACGATTGTTGTCATTTACAAAAATTGTTGATAGTCGCCAGCAGTTAGTACGGCTTATGAAAAAAAATGATTTAATTCCATAGTCTGCTAATAAACCAGAAACCGTTGTGAATTTCATGTCTCTACTAGATTCACCTTTAGGATATATTTTTTTATTAATCATATGAAAAGACGAGCATTGTTTTTTCATGGTACTTATCATGACGATCATCAATAGCAGTTATTAGGTTGAGTATAGATGTGTCAAGTTGATCCGAAGATCCATTATATGCATGGCGTTGTAAAGATCTTTGATATCGTTACCAAATGAGTTCGGTTCACCAGAAACGCTGTTAGTATGACACTTCACTTCACCCCACTCTTGATTAGCCCTTTCAAGTTCTTCTTCGAAATGTGATAATTCGACATTTGTTCAAGATTTGATTATGTCTTAATAAAAGTTTTGATTTTTATGTTCTACATGTTAATACGTACCAATATTGAATCAACATGTAACTATTAAATTAGTTATCCATTAGCGAAATTACTATAATGTAAACGGTTCAACAATTCGATCAATGATCGAGATGATATGGAACAAAAGTTTTGAAGAATTAAAATTTTTGATAAAATATTGAAATGTCTTTCTTGAATTATTATCATTTCGTATTGTCATAAAACATCAAACATATTATTGTATTAATAAATATATTGCTCCCTTACTATATCATCGAATTTACAGTGAGCTTGAACAATAATTTTTCTCAAAACTCTCTCTGTTCAAAGATTGATCATCCTTTCTTGTTCTTTGCTCGATGAATTCACTCTACCTTTATCTCCATAGGTTATTTATCATGAAAAACCGACTTTGCATCTGAGATGATCCGATTGAAATGTGAATTTTTGATTGGATTATCGTGAAAAAGTTCCATATCACAACAACATTTAACAAAGCCTCATAAAATCATTTGAATGTTGTATGTGGTCCAGAAATGAGTCGTTATGATACCAGGTAAATTGTTATCTCGAAATTTGTCGAAGTAAAGGTCCAACATTGATAAGAAATCATTGTGCTTGCTGAGGACAACAAGAAAATTTGAAAAATAAATGTTTTGAATATGATAAAAACCTCGTGATCATGGATGTTGTTAAGTGCTTCAACAAATGCAATGAGCCTAATCTGGTATATCACATGTGTGATACCTCATAAGAGTGAGAACAACAGAATACATAAAATGATATGTCATTCTTTTTTGTGTGCCGGCAGCAACAACAGTGCACATTTGCCGACAAGTGAGCAATATCACATAACAAGGTAAGTAGCAAGCAGTAGTCATAGTTTGCCGTTATGTGAGATAAAATTGGCACCGAATAATCCATTAGAAATACATTAATGCAGACATCTAGTAACCCTATAGCTGGTAAAAACGTGTGAAATATTGAAAGGACAGGATTCCGACAAATATTGAAAGAAATTTGATTTTGTTGTCAACTATATAACAGCAGTACGGTAGACTGGATTTCTGTCAGGAAATCAGAATCTATGAAAATCATCTAGTGTGCAGTAGGATTTTACTGTCGCCATCGAAAAAATCTAACTTTCATTGCTCGATATCAGCCTAGTCAAGCCGATAAATGATTTAACTTTGGTTTCTGAGTTTTGTAGCTTTTTCAAAGAAAGATGTTTTTTCTCACATACACAATGATCAGGACTACTCCAACCGGTGATACTGTCATTGTGTCTTCTGTCTTCATAACGATTTTACTTAATATTTTGTAGACTGTTGAACAAACTTCTATCTAGTACCAGATTCAATTTCAACTATATCCATGACTGCCAATGACCACGGACATGTCAGTAAGTCAATAGCCAACTGCAGAAAATTCTCTCCTTTAATCCTTTTTATTCTAGATAATCTCGACAAGACGCAGATGGAAACACTAAAACGTTATTGGATAACTCTAATCAATGCTATCAGTACTCAAAGCTCATTACCTATCGATCAGATTATCAATTCGGTTTATGGAGATGAGTTTTTTCATGCGGTTGGCTACGAGAATCCTGATGTATTTGCATTGCGATGGCTTCGCGTATGTAAGTGGGAAATCAATGATGCAGTTCAAAAAATGATAAAAATGCTGAAGTGGCGACACGAGTGGGGCGTTCAGGCACTTGTAGCTCAGGGTGAGAGTGGTCTCTCCTATGAAGAAATTAAGACAGGCAAGTGTTATTTAATGGGCCATGATAAAGCTGGTCGTCCAATCAATTATATATCTGCCAAGGATCACATAAATGGTCAATTCCCTCATGAGATCACACAGAAACTCACCGTTTTAACAATGGAAACCGTTCGAAAACTTATTGAAGCTCCTGTTGAGACGAACACGATTGTTTTCGATCTAAGTGGATTTCGTTTGAAAAATATGGACTATCAACATATCAAATTTTTCATCAATCTCATTGAAAATTATTATCCGGAATTACTTGGTCAGGTCATCATATTGAACGCTCCATGGATATTTTACGGTTGCTGGACAATCATTAGCAAATGGTTGGATCCGACCTTACGAGATGAAATTCGATTTGTTAAGAATGAAGTAGAATTAGCTCAGCACATAGATCCATCTGCTCTTCCAAGAAGATTGAATGGTGCTCAACCTGATTTTGAATACATTGGACCGACAGCTGATGATGACGCCATGATTGCCACCATTCGTGCCGATGCTCAAGGTAAAGCAAAAGCCTAAGCAGCTCATCAAGAAGCTGCTCGACACTATCTAAATATCACCTTGCAATGGACGCGCGGTGACAACAATCCAAATTTACTAGCGAAGAGAGCCATGGCTGCGAAGCAGTTACGAAATGCTTTTGAAAAGTTGGTTCCATACATAAGTACCCGAACCCATTATCATCGAATTGGAGCTATCAAAGAGCAAATCTTTCAAGAAACATACAATCAGATTCGTGCATCGATGTCGAACCAAGTCTAGCCGTTCATTTTAGGACAGATGTTTGACTTTGTACATTTGCTTTTACTGCAGTCGTAGCAATAAAAACCATCTACTTTGCCTATGATGAATGCGAGTACCTAATATATATCTCACTTCACGTCATATTTGCCGACAATCAATCATTGACTTTCGTTCTAGAGATGAGCACAAAATATTTAATGAGATTAAAGAAATTCAGGATCAGAAAGGTAGAGAGAAATAATGTACTTCAAATGAAAAAGTACATCTAAGTAGAATAGTTGTTCAAAGCATTTAGTACTAGTTTCAAGTATGTCAAACTACTTTGAATTACATGGCAACAGTGAAGTGTGAGTATGGGTTGGAGCTGGATGGAGTTAAAATGTTTGCCTTTGTAGGTTTTCATTCCTGCAGTCTCGTTCCTGAATCTAAGAAAAACTCCGAAAACCTTTTTGACTTCCACATATACTTCGTTTTGTGCTACTTGTTAATAAGAATGTTCCTTTGATTCTGTTTCTCGAAATTATTCATGAGTCTATAAAGTCACGTAGTTTTTTTTCATTAATTAACATTTAAAAAATAAATACATCACTATTTGAGAGTAAAAAATACTTGACTGTTTTACTGATGTAACTAAGAAATTGAGTGCGAAAAAATTCTTTGCAGGGCCTTAGTGAGGAGTTTTTTCTTACTAAACAGCCACACACTCATTGCTTTTGCAGATCATCAACACGTTGATTTTTTTTGAAAAGTATTGCACTCAATAATTCTATGTATTAGTGACATGCATTTTACCGTATCGATCGAATGAAAACTTCACAAATCTATACAATTCATTATAGATGAACTTTGATACTAGTCCAATTTTATTGAAATCCGTTCGACATTTCCTGTTTTTTTTCTCTTTATTCAACTAGATGCATGCAAATTACTACACACACACACACTATTAAGAAGAATTTTGTCTTTATTAAGAATCTTCATATCTATGGCTTGCTCGTCTCAGCCATAGTGTAGACGAGTTTTTCAGCAACTACTTTGTTCTCCATCATTCTTTGAAATCCTTCTGCAACTCCATTGAGTCCGCCCGAGACTTTGCTCACTTTATTCGGCTTAACAAGTCCCTGAGGTAATAAGATATTGGCAAGTTGCAAGTAGAATTTCTCGGCAAATAATTTATCTGCAGGTTTGGCTTCATAATCTTGACCGAAGACGTGCATTCGACGCCCGAAAATCGTATACATCATGACACTGCGTTCTTTAATATGAGGTGGAACTTCTTTTGATACTCCTGGTAGAACGGTGACTACTTGCGGATTCAGACCAGTGAGTGTTGCGCACACTTGTGCAGTTGATCCATTCTCCGAAATACAATCAATAGCATAAGCCAAATTATTTGAAGCTACTTCTTTGATTTGTGAGACCACATTCGAATTCTTGTAATCGAAACAGATATCAGCGCCAAGTTCCTTCAAATAAGCATGACGAGCAGGCGATGCAGTTGTGATAACAAAGCAGCCAGCTGCTTTGGCTAATTGAATAGCATATTGGCCAACACTGGTGCTACCTCCCCAAACGAGAATGGCTTTGCTAGAAGTAGCAGGAGGAAAAGGTAAACCCATCTCATGAAAGAGACCAAGAGCTGCCGTGATACTGGCCAGTGGAACTGTAGCAGCTAATTCTGGAGACAGGGTAGAAGGATAACGAAAAACCAGTGATGCATCTTGAACAACATATTCTGAAAAAGCTCCACGAATGCCCAATGCGGCATCTAGACCACCATGAACACAGCCGGCTACATGTTCACCTTTTTTATAGCTTCCTGAGAAAAGAAGAAAGAATGAACGTATGAGAATAATACATCGAAATAATTCATCTGAATCACTATTGATCGAGTTGATAGTAGACTTTAACGAGTGACAAATATTCAGTTGGATTCTTCAGCACTGCCAATTATTTTCCTTAGGATAGCCGAATTTCTATATCCTTTTACATCTTATGACAAGTATACAAATATGGACCAATGCGCTAATGTCTGAGTTCGATTCACTCCCCAGGTTAGCCAATCAGATAGTAAGATCAGTAATAAATTCTTACACGCTTGTATTAAGATCATACTCGACGACTCTGCACGATCACGCAAGCTAGTACGGAAAATCATCCGAATAGGCATCATCTTTGATGTCCGGTATCCAGATTTATATAACGATGTGTACAAGAGTTGATTATATGGTTTTATATAATCATAGAAGACTGGACTGTTTAATTTCATTATATTTGTTCATTCTTCTACACTGATTTTCATGACTTAACACGTTTTCAATATAAATGATTGAGGCGTCTACTTCAGTTTACTTTCGCACGACATGATAGTTTCTAACATCATGAATATACATATGTAGCCAGAACTTAAATCTGTCGTTGCACCACTCGATATAGGTGAACTTTTATACCTTTACATCAATACATATACCGTTATGCTGATTCCTAACACATCTATCTCTATAACTAAGCTACCAGGTTTACACACACATATAACTATACTCTTAGACTTACACCACTACACTTATAAGCTTTTGCCTATATTCGAATTACTATAGTTTTAGACCAATACCACTTTGCCTATATGTTTATCTTTATATTCTTACTTATTTACCCTTGTACATATAGCTTTATATTTATACTCTTATGTGAATATCGTCAGAGCAACCTTTTAGAACTTTCATCTATGGCGTAATATGTATAAACTTGTAGTATTCCTTTACTAACTGGTGTTTATATTTAATGATCTACCCATGTCGATAGGACACGCTAGTAACACATGTGTCGACACAAACGACACGATACGTACACATGTGACGCTACATGTTGTTACACTGTATTTTCTGTACGTCATCGTGTCGATACATGTGGATAGCGTGTCTTGGATAAAGAAGGATAAACTTCGGATTAATGTGCAGGAAAGAAAAAAAAACGATCGTCTTCATTTATATATATATATAATTTAAATTCTTCATTTCAGCTCATTATCTATTTACTTGTCATTAAGTAGGGTATTTTTTTTTAAATTAAATTATTATCTTTTTTTTTATAATTTCTAAATTAAATTATCTTTTTTTTTTGTCAGATTTTTTTGAAATAAAATATTATGCATTACTACGGATGTTTTAAATTAAATTATTATTTTTTTCAGATCTTTTTATTAATTTATTATCTATTTTTGTACATATTTCAAACTGATTTATTATTTTTTTTTTATTTTAGATTTTTTAAAATAAAATATTATGGATTAATATGGATTTTTTAAATTAAATTACCCTTTATTTTTTCACATCTTTTAAATTGATTTATTATTTTATTTTTTATGTTTTTTTAATTAAATTATTATTTATTTTTGTATCTTTTCAAACTAATTTATTATCTCTTTTTTAGACTTTTGAAAATAAATTATGATCTATTTTGTCACACTTTTTAAACGAAATTATTATGTTTCTTTTAGATGAATTTTTTTTGATTTTGTTTTAGTTTTTGTTTTAGATTTATCAAACTTTATTATGGACATGTTAATCTCAAACAAACTCCACACAATGAAGAAAAATTTTTTTTTCGTTTTATTCTTAATTTTTTCCACAATGGAAAGTGTAATTTATAGACTTTTACTGTTTTAAATGTATGGATGTTCATGTTATTTTTAATTTTACTGTATAGACGATTTTTTTTATCATTTTATTTTATCATGTACATTTGTCTCGGTTTTTTTTATTGTATACGCTTTTTTTTATTATTTTATTTTATTCTGTAAATTTTTAATTATTTTTTTTTGTTTTATTTTATAGACGTTTTTCTTGTTAGTTTTTTATTAATAAAGAAATTAGAAAAACGTCTTTAGAATAAAATAAAATAAAATAGTAAAAAAATGTCTATACAATAAAATAAAAAATAGTAAAAAAAGTATATGAAATATAAATTCTATAGACATTTTTCTTTTTATTCTATCTACATTTTTTCCTACTATTTTACTTGATTTTATGATACAGACATTTTTCCTATTATTTTGTTTTATTGTATATATGTTCTATTATTTTTAGCTTTCTTCTATAGACTTTTTCTAGTTACTTTTTTTTATTAAAAATAGAAATGATAAGAAAAAAGTCTATAGAAGAAAGCTAAAAATAATAGAACATATATACAATAAAACAAAATAATAGGAAAAAATGTAGATAGAATAAAAAGAAAAATATCTATAGAATTTATATTTCATATACTTTTTTTACTATTTTTTATTTTATTGTATAGACATTTTTTTTACTATTTTATTTTATTTTATTCTAAAGATGTTTTTCTAATTTCTTTATTAATAAAAAATTAAAAAGAAAAACGTATATAAAATAATTATTGTATATTGGTCTTTTTTTCATTTTTTTTGTATGCAGTTTTTTAAAATAAAATTTAATTTTTGGATAACTAATTCTGGCTTCAAATCATAAAAGCACAGGAAAAATGGAGAGACAGGAAGGGTTTAGTCATTACCAATGCTTATTGGCGGACTGCTAGCGACATAGAATGGACCAATAGAATTATTAGAAAAATGACAATGACACAGCCACCTTACATGTGTCAACACACCATGACACTCGTTACGTACATGTGTCGACACACTATGACACTGTTGCAAAACGTGACGATACTTCATGTGTCATTCAATTTGTGTCGACACATGTGTCACTAGCGTGTCCTATCGACATGGGTAATTGCGTTTGAGTTCAGGACTAGATTAT